TAGATAACTATGGAATAGCTATTGCTAACCTCGTGGCTGCTGTCCGATCTCCCGTTTGTTTTGCTCATTACGCTTAAAAACTCGCCCATTCTGTTTGGCAACCGTTAGAGATGTACAGGTGTTTTCAGTTCAAAAGGAAAACGACATGAAAACAAATGCGTTTTCATGGCAGTGGCCTGTATACTTATTTGATTTTTAATCCTGTTAATCCTTATAAGGGGGTCCTACGCGTCACCATGGTTCACATATGATAGTGCAAGTCTTTCGCCGCAATCAAGATCACTGGGTCCGGATCGAAGTACAGATCTGTCCCTGTAAATTCCAATGTGTCTCCTCCGACACCTGACAAGCGACGTTGTCATGTAGAGGTTTGTTAAAATGTCTAGCCTAACCGTACTTCGTAAGGACTTTGAATGTCACTCGGATTTGCTATGCGATCCTTTGTTATAACAGAACATATAAACAAAATTAGTCACAGAGAAACTCTCAGTATCTTGGTGTTCACTCCAATGTGACTGATCTTTTCCATTAATTAGTGCCAATTTTGTCAATGCTGCTGCAGATAAGATTAGAGACGAAAACAAATCGCTTCTTCAACTGTTTCCATGGGTCATTTGCTGCCCCGACCCTGCAGGTTGGCCAAACCATCGGCTTCACCGAGCAGTTATCTTTTCTAGGCTTAACTAAAATGAGCCTAGTGAGTAGTAGTTGTTAATTGTATTGTTTGAGCACTGATCCAATCATTCGCATGCCGCGCCTAAGATTCAGCCGGTCCCTTAGTCACCCCAAGCCTGAGTGACTTCGCCATTACGTTTAGTTCTTCTCTGTGTAGGTCTCGATGGAAGACAATCTCCTAATTTGATTCTGTACACTACCAAAACCTTGGGCCACTCCAGATTATTTGTCTCGGTACAGTTCCGTGTCTGAATTGAAAGAGGTCAAATAATGAACACTTAAACGCGTGGGAGTCAGCATCTGATGAGATCCGTTGGTATCGTTTGTTTTAGCGTCTCAAATTACCTAGCACTACGGGCGAAGTCGAGTTATTTCCAACTAACAAAGATGTGGTTGACCTGGCCGGCGGTCTTAGCTCAGCGTATCCAGTATGCAAATTACCTCGTCAAAGTCCTAGCCTGATATTCTAGATCTGTCGTTCGACAGCCTTTTTTAGTTTTCGAGTGTTTTTCAAGGCCTAAGCATCTGATAATGTGTTTGTCTTCACA